AAAGATAAGTAAATAATAAAACAAGTGAGAAAAAAAGATGAAACAAGGAACAACAGTTGGGGATGCACTGAAAACAGAAGATAAAAACTGCAACATTATATCCAGTACATGTTCTTCCCTCCTCCACAAAAACAAGGTTGATAAATGTTGGACTAATTTTTCTGATGTCATAGAACTGATCATTCAGATCTTTTGTGAAAGTTTCACACATTACAGCTACAAAGCAAAATAAAACATTCTAGATCATCAGAACAAACCACTGGTTTTAACTGGGAGTCTAACTGTGAATTGCATATACACACACTCCCTCTTTCACTTTCTCTCTCTCTCTGTGTAGTGCCTCTCATCTTGCCCAATAATCATTATTTACTTTAGGTGCATTTTTTGTAGTTTATAATAATTTCAAGGAAAAAAAGGCACTAGTGTGATAACATGGTATTGCTCAAGAAGCAAATTTTTTTGAGTATCACCATGTTGAGTGGAAAAATAATGAAAATAAACCGTGAATGTTTCTTCTTTTTCTAAAATTTACAACATTTTCACTACCATACCCCACAATTAGCCATTAAAAAAGCTCTGCGATTCAGCAGCACTGTAATTCAGAATTTTCAAGTGCCAGTATTTTTAAAGACAGCTAACATTACTAGGGGGAAAATACAGTAATAATAAACGACTCAATTTTTATACATCCATCAGCCTCAAAGCAATTTTACAAGAGAGGCCAGTGCTGTTATCTCCAGTTTGCACAGAAGAAGCAGAAGGACAGAAGGGAACTAGCTCTGCACAGCCTTGCGGGACACACTCACAGGCCACGTAGAACAAAGAACAGATCCACATTCTCTAAGAACATGAGACTGGAATTATTACTAAGCACTTATGAAGTACTAGTTAAGAACTCAGCACAAAACTGACCATAAGAAATACATGATGGTTAGAACAAAAAAAAAAAAGATGTTATCAACAGACGAATTTTGGAAAAGACAGATGCAGCAGTTAAAGATCACGTTACTACTCCCCAGACACTTGTTTTAACTCCCTGCTGGAGCTTATTTCCTCCGAAAAGCTGTAGAAATGGAACATGTGCCTGTTCCAGATGCTTTAGTGCAATTCAGAGTTTTAGTTAAAATTGTCTGTTCTACTACGAGGAAGTAACACCTGCCAGAGGAACCAGGTGGAAACACTACTGAAGTCACTGCAGCAAGATTCACCATATATCATTTGTCAATAGCTTCGGAGTAAAGAAGGCTGAATTCCAATACAATTTCCCAGTCACTGTATAACTGGGAAAATCTGTTACTCACTCTTTTTCGCCTTAATATATGGCATCATCCCACTTACCTATATCACATGCATATATACCTCAGCTTAAAGTAGCAATAAATGTAAAAAAATACCTTATTATTGTGCACAGGAAGTCATTCATATGTGAAAGAATACTTAGCAAACCTTAGAGAAGATCGTGTATCATGGAATCATAGAATAGTTTTGGTTGGAAGAGACCTTTAAAGACCATCTAGTCCAACCTCCCTGCAATGAGCAGGGACATCTTCAACTAGATCAGGTTGCTCAGAGTCCCGTCCAAACTGACCTTGAATGTTTCCAGCGATGACGCCTCTACCACCTCTCCGGGCAACCTGTTCCAGCGTTTCACCACCCTCATTGTAAAAAAGGTCTTCCTTATACCTAGTCTGAATCTACCCTCTTTCAGTTTAAAGCCCCTTGTCTATCGCAACAGGCCCTATTAAAAGTCTGTCCCCATCTTCCTTATAAGCCCCCTTTAAGTATTGAAAGGCCACAGTAAGGTCTCCCTGGAGCCTTCTCTTCTCCAGGTTGAACAAACCCTAACGTTCAGTGTTGCCACATCGCTGTGTTTGCAGTATTAATAACCTGCAGAAAGTTTCTATGGATACCGCTTGAGGGAATGAAACTGGAATCCCCAAGTCTCAATTGGGAACAAAAAGCATATGCACCAATTACTTATCCCATATGACTTTTTTCAAGTTTGTGACAAAGCAGTCTCCTAGGTATTTTCTAAAGGATTATGTACAACAGTGTCAATCCTATGTAAATCAGGATTTCTAATAATTTATTATTAAACCACATGAAAATTAGAACCAAATGTTCGTTACAAAAAAAATCAAGACCTTGACTTTTCTTTAATCAAATACATGGGATTATAAAGTCACTTGGTTGAGGGATAAGACATCTATTAAACACTCAACAAATCTAGGCCAGAATAATGCAGTAACCAAAGCATACACTGGAAAAGCGATCTGTGTGGGAATTTCCCAAAGCTTTGGGCTACATAATCCATGTCAGATATCTAAATTATGTACCTCCTATATTTATGTTGTGTATATAAATATAACCTATAGTTACACATAACATAATTTTCACAGGACATGAAAATCATTGTATTATTTCCATCTCCTACAGATATATGCCCCTTTTACACATCAATATAAGTGCTAAAACTTTACCATGCAAATTAATTTCTCCGGCTTATTTCTTTTTGCATGTGTTCCAAAATGTTACCAACTCTTCTGTATCCTCAGCTACTGAGCTGCCCTAAACTGATGAAAATATTTTACAGATACGCTGAATATATGGTTCTACATAACAACAAGAGGGCTGCACAGCTGCATTAAAAAAACCTGTATTTTCTTCAGGCACATTCTGTTTTCATTAAATATGCTCTCCACTTGCTACTTCAAGATCTCTTTAACCATTTTTACGTTTATCAGAACTTTTCATATTCAATACCCATTTCTACAGTCATCTTTACCAGTTATAATAAGTTCCATTTTCCCCTTTGAACTTTTTTAAAAATTCTTAGCGATAAATGCTAGTTTATCTATTCCAGATGCATTTTTTCCTTTGTTCTCCCTGATGTTTGCATGATCCCTGAATTTACTTTCAGTTATGAATTTTAATTAATATGCTGTTTGTCCACCTCATCCAAGCCATTCATTTTATTGAACGTTTCCATTATTTTCTGCAGGTTCACTCAAGTTCTCCCACACATCACTCCCTTACACAAAAGAAAAAGGAAAGGAAACAAAATGTATTTGTCACATTATCTATGTTAAAAAACAAAGATGGATATACACAAAATAATGTGTATAGGTTATATACTGTTGCAGTAAGGGGTCTGTCTAAATTTCTTCCACTAAGAATTTTGCACTTCCAATTACGGAATTTTGTTTTGTTTGCAATGGAATCTGGTGTAACTAGGCATTTCAAAGACTTCTGACCTGAACAGTATTATTATTTCTGAGAATAAGTACCATCCCTTGAACATGTTTTTGGTACAGTGTTTTTACAGAGGGAAATCTGAATGTGTCTGCTCAAATAATGCAATGTTCATTTATCTTGTCATGTTTCGATCCATGACAGTATTATTCATCATATGTATAAACTTATCCTGGCTGATACATATGGTTTGGCAATAGTCAAACACACTAATGACTAGCTAAAAGTAGTTACTGTACTTACATTGGTGAGGTGAATGACTCCTTTCGATGTAACAGAGCAGCCCATAAAACCAACATACTGTAGCTCAGGACAATGTTCAGCAAAAGCTTTCACTGACTGATCTGTCACCTACAGAAGAGATATACAGGTAATAGTTGAATAGGTGATATGAGCACATACTTAATACAGTCTAACCAGCTTCTCTGTAACACTGTAATACTTTCATTATTATTATCACTACTGTTATTTATTTCAAGAGTTTGAGAGAAAACATCCGGTACAGACACACATCTATATATGTTCATGAAAAGGAAGTAAAAAGATCATCTTTGGCAGAGAAGAATCATCATCTTGGAGAAGAAGAAGAATCAGAAGAAAAGAGAGAATGATGGCCACAAATTCAAATATTATCATCATCCTGGTTACCTGCAAATAACCCAAGAGACCATTCTATCTACTGTTCTCAAACTATATACAAACACGAAAATACTAACAAATTTATGTTACTGCCATCCTGCAGACTCATGCTATACCCATCATTAACTCTGCACAGAATCTGAATTGTGTGATATCTCAAGTTTATATTCCTTTTCTAAGCATTTTTACTACATCAATTCATGATCTTAAAGTTAATATTACATCTGTTTCCCACATCAGACTTGTATCTCATGGTAATGTACCATTTTGTCAGTTATCAGTTGAATGGAGATGTTACCTAGGTTATTATTGTGATTTATTTATTTCTACAACTATTTTTTCTTTATAATTTTGTCTAACGAAATTACTATGAAACACAATCCATTGCATAAATGTAATACTTTGTATGTAGACTAAATATTCAAAAGGACAACATTCTGTGAACTTTGTGAAGAATATAATATCGACATGGGTACCCCTAAGACACCTGTGTACCTTCCTTTAAACAAGGTTGGGGTTTTCTTTCTTGAGAAGTACATATTCCCAGTGCAAATGACGGTAATACACAACTCCATATTGATTTTTGGACAAAACCTGTATTTTCCAGCCAAATGTCTCAGAAATGTCTCACTATGTCTGGAATCGTAAATCCTGAATGCCGACAACATTCACGGTTTTTAACGCTGTCTGCG